ATTTGCCTAAAGCCCTACATGATAAAAACCATTTATCATTGCTTAATCCATCCATCCTTTTTGTGTTGCGTATATGGGTACACAGCTTTTAATTTGATTCAGAAAATGTTTAACCTAAAAAGTAATATAATATACTAAATAATTACTTTCCCTTGGTTATTGTCAAATGTAACTCCAGCATAATCCCTGTTTGAAAATCTACCAATAAAATCTCTTACAGTCACATTCTGTCATTACAGCTGTAGGAAAACAAATAAAATACACAAGTGTTGCTGTGACACCTCCCACAAGGAGAACACATTTAGGATTAGTGTAGTCATGTCTGTGGAGGTGGGGTGTTGTGTCTCCGCGCAATGGCAGGATGTCTACCCCTGCAGGAGAGCTTGTGTGCACTGCATATAAGATGTCTAATCCATCCCCAGTCACTGTATGTGTGCGTGCACGTGTGTTGCTTCTGAGAAAAAAGGAAACGCGTCTGTGTCTTGAGAGTCAAATTAAGGCAGTATACAGTATAAGAGCTCAAGTTTCCCAAGTTCTTATTGACAAAGCTTTATTCTCTCTGATGACCACACAGCAACAATCTCCGCGCTCTCTCATTTATCACAAAGAGCTAATGAAGAGGACTCTGGGCAGACCCACGTATGCTTTTGAAGCAAGGCAATATGTTGTAAGTGTGTGTGTGTGTGTGTGTGTGTGTGTGTGTGTGTGTGAGAGAGAGAGAGACAGCAGGTGTGTATTTGGTGAAAAGCGTGTATAAACATTGAATAGTTGTGGATGTGTGTGATTAGTAAAAGCCATGTATAACACAGGCAGTAGCCTCATTAATAATTGTCTGAGGAAATTTTCACCATTAATGAGGCAAAACATGCTCACAAAGGAGGCTAGTGTCTGTGTTTGGCTCAGTATTGATCACATGGTTGTGACATGTGCAGAGTCGGAAGAATAATTTTAGAAAATGATGACTTCATCCCTCATCACATGTGCCAGCTTGGGGTCTGCTGTGTCTCGCAGCTGTTTCAGGGCTTCCCCACTGAGCATCTACAAGGGGTCAATTCACAAAGTGTCACAAGCACCTGAGGATGTGAGAGTTATAAGGACGCTATTTATGATACTGAGGAATTACCCCTCCTTACTTATTAAACCTCATGTGGCTGTATGACATGAGGTGCTGGTTACACTTTGGGTCTGGGTCCAGCTTACAGTACCCAGAATTTACCCCTCTGGGGCTTTCTTTGTGCTGGTGTGCCATAGTGCAGCAGTGTTATCTGTCTGTAATATAACTGTTGATCTGTGTCTGTCTCAACAACAAATCTAAAACGCTCTTTACGGAAAGCTGCAGCTTTTAAGTGGCCCCATGATAAATCACACATAAACTTAGTAATAAAACAAACAGTTACAAATGAACAGCAGTTATTGACTCAAGCTGCTAATTTATAGGAAACCCACTGTAAACAAAACCGAAAGCAGCCGACAGCAGAAAAGAAGTTATGCTGCTCGTCAGGTAGCGCTGAGAAATCCTGACAGCCAGGCTGATGAGTGCAAACAGTTTTGTTCAAAGGAAAACAAGTCCTCAATGCTATGATGAATGCAAAAGTCAAAGCTAGCTTAAAAGGCTAATTTGGCCTGCTGTTAGAAAGGGAGCCTACAATTGGAGTATAATGTGTCCTATAGAAGCAGACCAGCTTAGACTTTTTAGCTAATTATTCTATAAACATTTTAATTTCACAAAAACATCAAACATAACTTTTATTTAGATTGTGAGAAAGAATATGAAAGGATATTTTGGACCAGCTTTACTTGATTCTTTCACTTCAGTTTTTATCAACTTTCAGTCAAAAATTTCTCTTTTTCATTTCCGGATACAAAGTCCATATATGACCCACCGGTGACAGAAGCAAAGGCCTGTGTTTTTGCCTGCACTTCTACAAAAGCAGTTTTTATACATGTGAAGGTGTGTGTGTGTGGGGGGGGGGGGGGAGAGAGATCACATAGCAATGACCATAAAAGGCCATTCACAGGTGGATGACTTGATTAGTGGATCTAAGTGAGTAGAGCTCCTCGGTGCACCAGCATGTGACCTTTTAACAGGATTACAAGTCATCTGCTCTGGCTCTACCAACCAGTTGTTGTTAACCTGCTCTGTTCTTTGTATTCAGAACCATATCCTCTCCAAAGTCCCTCGCCAAATTCTATCCCTGTTTTAATTTTTGGCTTTCACTGAGCCACTTGAGTTTGCAAAATTTAGAGACCCGTCTATTTCTAAGCTGTTCTTCACGAGTGTGAATATTTGGTTTCTGAAAGCATCTCTCCAGTTTGTCTGTGTATCTGCCTCCATGTCAACATATGGACCTGCTAATGTGGTAACATGCTTTTGGCGCCCTCTGCTGTGCCCTGTGTGTCATTGTGTTGGCAGCAGAGCGGGATCAAGAAGTAAAGGGTACATTGTCCTCTGTCGTCGTTGTCACTCTCCCTCTACTTCTTAATTTGCATCTGTCTTCCCTTAATTTTTCTCAGTGACTTCATGCTTTTGCAGTAGGTTGGCCTGTTAGCCAACTTTTTTTCCATTTCTCATGAATTCATCATGTTAGAAATGTTAAACTTCACCACATAAAAAAAAGAGCGGGGTCTTAGTAACTAAAATCGTTTCTGATAGAGCTTTTTTTTAGTAATTACACAGCTAGTATATAAATCAGATTCTTGAAGTTTTAACTACTTTACCCTCTTTTCCTTTTATGGTGAAGTCTGGCAGAGTAAAACATTATTATAAAAATCACGGAAACTATTTTTGTTGAAAGGAAAATAAAACAAATGGCCGTAATATCCTCCTCATGTTGACTTGTATCTGTTGTCTGTTTCTCTCTCCTGCTCTTCGCCATTTTTCTCTCTTCTCCCCCCATGAAGCTTTCTCTCAAGCTGGTAAGCATGACCGTATAACTGCACGACCGTAGCGGCATGACCATAGCACGCATGTCACGTCGTCCCAGTAACACAGTCTTAATAACGTTCTGTACGCTGATATGTTTTTGGTGTGCTTTTTTTTTTCTCATTTTATTTGTTTTGGATCTAATTTAATTATTAATTAAGTTTTGCTGTAACACAACAATGGACCTGAGACTCACGTCGCTGTCTCATTTTTGTGTTATGTTTGTTTGTTTGTTTTTATGTTGTGATTGTGTTCCCATTTTGTCTCTCCCAAAATGTGTCTGTGGTCTCTGTGATGCAGATCACACTCAATTCCCACGTCCGGAATCTCATTGAGGTGATCAGATTTACTCTGTGTTTTATTCGTCTGTCTCTTAGTCTGTCTCGTAGTCCTTCTTGTCTCAGCTGATTGTATGCCCCTGTAACATATACTAATTGCCGATCTGTAGAAAGCGAGCTCCTGTCCTTACACTGCATGCCACTTCGGTTCCATTTATTGATTTATTGATATTTTTGTGTGTGGTTTGTAAATCTAACACTAGCGAGGATTTCCTCAAAACATAAGGATTAGTGAAATTGTTTAATGCTTTTGGGAATCCTTTTCATATTTTGAAACATTCACTTTATGGTGTGTTAAGGGATAATAGTGATACACACTGTAAGTACTGGGAAACAGCTGTCCTAGCTTTATGCAGAAAAACCTAAAGGTTCTCTAATAGTACTTTATCTGTTTTACCTGTTTAAATATGTAAAAAACCCCAAAATGGACTAATTAGGTTTTGGCAATAAAACGAGAAACTCACATCTGTTTTTAGGGCTAACTGGTATATCCCAGTTGGAGAAAGGGCCTGCCTGCTTTGCCTGCGACTCGCCTTTAGTATCAAAGCGGATCAGAGAGAATCTGTTTGTGTTTCCGGCAAACAAAACTAAAAAGCTTTAAGTGGATAATTAAGCAAAATTCATTTTCAAAAATCCACATGAGTCTGAGTCGTGTCTCTCCATGTTGCTTTGTAAGTTAGGTCTAGATGCACAGGGGGAGTGTTGATGGGATAGTGCACAGCTTCAAAGAAGAAATAGTTGATGTAACATAACATCAGAGTATTGCCCTTCATGCAAGGCAGAGAGGAGGAGATCTTCCCCTCTGGACAGCCGTTTCCCTGTCCTTCCAGTCTTTATGTTAAGCATATTTGTACAGACATGAGTTTCTTTTCTGAAAAGAAAGTTAACAAGTGCATTTTCACAAATTTTAAACAGTTTAAATTTTTTTTTTTACATTTTGACATTTTACAGCATATGCTTGGTTTGTTTTTGTACGTCAGTGCCTGAGTCAAATAAGACTGATCAGTTTGAACCTTTTCTAACAGTCCAACTTTATTGACTACAACATCAAGTAACTAAATGCCTGCATATAGTTTTAGTTTGTTTATTGATTAAATTTAATCACGTAGAATAAATCTACATTTAGATCGTAGTGCCTCACTAGTCTGAGGAAACGTGGATACGTAAACACTAATAAGTCATTTCTGTACTGTGATGTTTCACTGATACGAGAGCATGACATGCCTGCATGTTGACTGACAGATCTTTGTTGTGTTGCATGCCTTTAAGTGTTGCATGCTGATACGGGGAGAAGGGGTAAGGTTGCCGTGGTAACTATCTGGCTCATGTGATGTGAATCCTGACCTCCAGGCTGTAGATCCAGCATTTATTTCCTGTGGTGCCACTGTGACCCATCTCAATGAGATCCAATCACAGGCCTTGACCTCTTCAGTCCACACAGTTCAAAGATTTTCTGCCGATATGTCACTATTTTCGTTCTTTTTTTCCAGCTAATCATAAACTCACTGAACCACAATGCTGCCCCAAATGGAGTAACAATATAAAACAAAGGCCTCATTGCATCTTATTGCGAAATCCTATCATTAAAACCTATGGATTGTCAATTGTTTTTAAACAACAACAGTAGCTTGAACGCAGTATATATATAGGGTCCAGAAATTGAAACCATGTATCAAGTAAGCTGTACTGCAGTACCAGCATTTCTGAGTTATTCCAAGACTTACGGAAGCAGCTAGTTAATTACCTTATCCTTACTGATCAATTTATTTATTAGTTTTGATGCTTTGTTTACAGATGTTTACAGAAAGACTGAGAGGCAGCGGAGCAGCATGACTCATTCTATTCAGTGTTACAGTCTCAGCAGGAAACATGACTCCTGTCAAGCCAACCTCTCGCAGCTCATATAACCTTCATTTTAAGAAAGAGCCGTTCCTGTCAGAGAACAGATCCATTAGCTAGCTGACCCTGAAACACTATATGAGCAATGAAAGGATGTGGCCAAAACTTTATTACATTTCTGTTGCATTTACAGAGCTCTCTAAATTAGGTGTGGCGACTGAATAGGTGAAAGGCCTCAAGTCTACACAGAGCCAAACATCCTAAATATAGAGTGTGTTAGAGAGCGGCTGCAGTATCTCCTTCAATGATTCAG